AAAAAAAAAAAAGAACAGTACCACATCACTGCCGTAGAATGACAATGACATTGCGGCACCAAATGTGAATCTATTTGTTCTCTCTGTGCCAGATGCTGCCCACAGGTTCAATCACTCAATTTAGCCTTAGAGACAAAGAGGCAACAAACAAATCTTCTCAGGACTCTGACTGCAGGCTGGAGGACTATCCCAAGAGGAAACAAGGCAGGCCCTGTGAGTGATGTCCACTTACTCAGATTAGTGGTGACAACTTCTGTCAATGACTGTGGATTTTTAAATCCACATCAACATGTGTGAAGAATTGGCCAAAAGACAAAAGTATTAACTTGTTGCAGCTGACCTTTGGGAGGTAGCATTTGTGATAAAGTGATAAAACGTACACTTTGTAAAACTTATTTCTTCTAAAGAGCATTTGGATTTACTCAGTAGAATATCGATAAAGCAGACATCCTGATTGTTTCAGCTCATCTGGGTTCAAGGCCAGAAGAATTTGTACAGGTGAATGTGAACATTTTACACTGTGACATCCCAACCCTAATAATCTTACATGAGCAGGCAGCTTCTCCAAGGAGAAAACCCTCCTGCAAAATACAGAACAGACGGTGCATTCTAGATTTTTTAAAGACAGCCAGGAATGGAACTTAAGGCTTCCGGGGACTTAATCCTCTTTGGTCCCTGTGAAGTCATGCACCTTCCTGCTTAATTATAAAAAAGAAAAAGAGAAATGATCCATTTACTTTACTACAGTAAATATAAAGTTTACTGTAGTATACAAATGCCTGATATGACCCAGAGTTCATGAAGCCTATTATGGAAACACACATGATTATTTATAGTCACATGGTATAGAGGCACATATAAGGGAACATACTGCTAATTTCACAGATTAAGAGCAGCTTGGATCCTCTGACTTGAGTGAAAGTCTAACTGATGGAATTAGAAATAAATATATAGTGGATGTTTTAGATAGACAAATAAAATAAAAGCAAGATGTTTGTTGTGGAAGACATCACGTTGGATTAATCCAAGCAGGAAATGGCAGCGGAACTAGAAAACCAAAGCCAGATGCAAGGAGGCCCGGCAGTCGGAAGGCCAGTGAGGTATTTCACCGTTCCGCGCCATCTGGTTTATCTGGCAGCCCCACCAGCCAGAAATTTTAGGGTTTGTGAAGCTGCCCTGAGTTGATGTGTGGTATGTTTACTTTTAAACAGTGGCTGCCTTCTTGGACTGGTTTTAAAAATAGGCAAATATTCTAAAAGTGGAATGATGAATCACAGGATTGAGCCAAAAGAAGGAGAATGACTCAGGCAGACTCGTAGCACAGCTGTTCTACAAACGTTTGGCTGAATTGTTGTGAAACATTTCGACAGTGATATCGGATCACTGTTCCTGAGAGCAGTTAAGTTTGTTTTGACAATTCCAGAAGCATAAAGTAGGCTGTACAATGGCTATGCAAAAGCCCCCACCCCTGGAAACTTTGGTGTTTTTTGTTTTTATTTTTAAAAAAAAATAAACCTTGCTAGATATGGTTCTAAAATGACAAAATCAGAATGCAGGCACAGATTTCTATACTAAATGTCTGTTGAATACCTGTTACATACAAGGCAAGGTTGGAGACCTTATGTTAAATTGGCAGATGACTTTATCAAATTATTTACTGATGAAGTAATTTATTGACTGCTTTTCGAAATGGGACTGTATGCTTAATGAATGATATAAAATCTATACTATGGAATCATTTAAAGATTGAAATAAAAAGGAAAGACTTAAAGAGGATTTTTTTTTTAATAATCATATGTTTGCTGCCTGCTTTGCAAACCTAGTGTGACGATGCCAGAGATACTTAAGATAGTAATTTCTTATTGGTGGAGCAAACACACCAACATACCATGGTACATTTGGGGACCAGCTCATCTCAGCTTCGATGGAGCAGCTGTTGGTTGTTTTGTGGTTACCCTGTTCTCAGATTTCCTGACATTGTCTTCTCTGTGCTTGTCCATGAATCAGATAAGTGGGACCCATTGAGTCTGTAATCTAAATCCTGTTATTTAGCCATGAGAGTTATGTAGTTAAGAGTGTTTGGAGAATGTTGCAGCTGGAAGAGGCTAAGCAACCATCTGGAAACATATTCTTAGAGCTAAACACCATGAGCCCACGAAAGGAAATGAGTCTCCTAAAAGGAAAGGCAACCCAGGGCTCCTTCCACCAGAACATTCTGCTCTTCACTCTCTGACCCACTGGCTTCCAGACTTTGATATTTGATAAGTCAATAATATTCTCCCCCCAGGTCTCTAGGAATCATGGAACTTTTCATTCATCAAAAGAAGGTTCACAAAGACTACAGTGTAACATGGTACTTATAACAAAGAGAATGTTTTAACATTAAATAATAAAATAAGCATAACCTTAGAAGACTATCCATTATATTGGATAAATTTAGCTTTGTAGACCAAACACACTCACATACAACCTCACTTCGTGTCCTGGTCTCCTTCATTTTACCTCAGAGAGGTGAACGCATCACGAAAGCTAGAACAGCATTTGCGAGGTTGGCTCAATCATGTCCTCCTCCACTGTGCCCTCTACCCTAGGCAAAATTGGGGCCTAGGCTGGGAAACTAAGTCTGTTAGAAAGAGTTTAGGTTTTTAGACTGAAAAGCTCCCCGCAGAGGGAGAGGCCACGCTCAAGGGGCTTTTCCACCCCCAACCTGCAGTTCCGAGGTGGCCCTGGGGGAATCCATCGGATGTGTCTGCATTTCCTGCTCAGAGCCTGCATCCAGGGCCTGTGCCTGTGCAGATGCCTGGAGCGGTCCCTGGTGGGCCAGGTGCTATGTGTAACACTCTGGCTGTAGAGACTTCAGATTCTTCGTGATTTCTCAACAACAAGCCTCGTACCCTTAGTTTTGTGCCTCCACAAATAAGTGGCTGGGTCAGCCTGCAGTGGGACCCCCAGAGCCAGTGTCCTGGAGCCATATGCTTTTAGTCACTGTGATTGTAGCTAACACTTTGTGACTTTTCTTGATTTATCCTTTTGGAAGAGTATTTTGATTTTTTTAGGTAGCTTACCACATACTTACCACCTGGAACATCTAGGTCAAGAGCCTGAGGGAAGCACATTTATTCCTCAGCATACACCGATCTGTACCTCTCTTCTTCTTACCCACAGTGTGGAAGCAGAGCAGCACCAACCTTCCTCCATCCTTTCTCATGAGCACTGGCCAAGCACTTTCCTACCAGGAATGCTCCCCTTTTATTACATGAACCCCACCTCTAGTTGGAAAACAAAGTGAAGAGTCCCAATGACCTGCCTTGAAACCCTTCTATTTACTAATAGCTTGATTTGAAGCAAGTTACTTAACCTCCAGCCCGTGACACACACCTACCGAGTAGGTGCTATCATGACATCTTCCTGCAGACTTGTTGCCACTATTGCACTGATGAGATGATACAAACACAGGCACTCAGTTACTCAGTAAGCATTCACTCCCTCTCTGGACTTTCTTTACAACTTTAAGCAATAGACTCGAACCAGTTGTATCCCAAAGAATCCTTATCAAGTATTAGACTAACAACTCAAAATAGTTTTGTATGCCTATTGGAGTACAGCATGATATATATCTAAAACAAATGTATATATTTATAGATAGTGGTTGTTTTCATGATATTTATTATTAAATCTTTACTATGGTTCTGAGTTCTGGATTCCGTAGAGGTTGTATGTACAGGAGACCCCCAGTCCCACCTCCACCATCAATGGGTTTGGGAATGCTGTTGCCACTGCTTGTTGAGGTAGCTTTGAAGGTAGGGGTCAGAGCTGGGCTAGAATATGACGTGAGAGAGTTTAAGAAGACTCCCCCAGCCCGTTTCCCCATATGCCATCCTTTCCAAGCTGGCCAGTAAAATTCTAGTAGAGATTTTGTCCTTTGACTTCCTACTGATTTCCCTGTGGATAAAAATATACACCCTGAGAGAGATAAAAAGGGTAAATCTGGGCTCTCCCTGGTGGCTCAAAGGGTTAAAGCACCAAATTATGAAGCTCTATGAAGTCACTGCAGCATGAGTTTGATCCCCACCCAGGGAGGTACCCACATGGCACGGCAGACCTCTCCTGACCCGCCCGCTGTTCCTCTCAGCAGTGTACTTTGTCAATCTGCCTGTTCTGCTTCCCACTTTGTCTCTGGTGAATCCTCTCACCCACCACACTTTTGGCCTGTACCTCAGTTCTGTAAGCATAAATAAATAAAACTTTAAAAAAAAAAAAAGGTAAATCTCCATATTTATTTATTGCCTAGTAGGAAAGAGGCTTATCAGTTTTTCCTGAGAACAAGTACTGAAAGAGTGCAGAGGAGAAGGCACCAGAACTTTTGGGGGTCCTGGAGAGGGAGAACACCAAGAGGTAGAAAAAGTTAAAGGAAGAGGACATCAAGGTATGCTTTATCCACATCACAGTGCTGTGGAGAGCTGGGTTTACACACGTACACAGACATTCACACTGATTCATGAGTCACTATTTTACTACACCACGTAATTCCCACTAGCACCCAAAACACCCTGCCATGTGAGGACAAAAGAGTATTACTCCAAAGAGACACTGACAGAAAGGGTGTTAGTTGCTTTTTAAAAATCTAAGTGGCATATGATTAATTTATGCCCAGATATGAAAAATTCTAATAGCTTAAGAGATTTAAAAGCAGAACGTTGAAAGCTACCAATTTGGGCTAATACCAATATCCTTGATTCAATCAGGTAAGAAGTAAAGGCTTAAGAAAAATAGAACCCCCAAGTCAAATGTACATTTATTTACATGAGAGTAGGCCAAGTGTTTGTTCAGTTGAAGATAAAGAAAACTCTCGAGTAATTAACCTGAAATCTTCATGTCAGTCCAGCTCTAAATTCTCTCTAATTGGAGATGGGCCAGTGATTCTCTAATGACCTAAGAGGTGAGATTCATATTTCTCTTCTGCATACTTTCTATTGGGAAAACTAAATCCATGAAGATCCCAATTTGGAAAGCTATTTAGAATTGTCAAGTCATGCCAATCATGCTATTTATTAAAATAATGCCAGTCATATCATTAATTTATAATGGTGTTGCTACCTCTGGGAATTATAATCTGCTAAGTGTTATTTAAAGAAGGACTCTGATGATAGGCTAGAGATGGTGATTGTATTCTAGAAGATGTCCCCCCCCCCTAAAAAAATGTGTTTCCTTTATGTAAGTCCCTGGAGCTTATAGCTGGTCTATGTGGTTTTGGTGGCTCATTCTGCTTTTAAGGAACACTGGCGATCTCCCAATCAACAGGGGCTAGCCTGTCACAAAGTCATTTGAAGCCATCCTTCCAAATGTAGCCTGAATTCAGTCATCTCATCCCATATCTAATCCAGATATTCACCACTTTATCTCTACCATCATAAAGAACCTCTTCCATTCTTTCATCTCTCCACATTCCAGACTACTCCCATCAAAAGACAATGTTCTTCACATTGCGTACTCCCTTGCTCAAATACTTTGATGTGCTTTTGCTTTTGAACAATTAAAGTTGACTTGGTAACTCTAGAAAACCACTATCTAAGCAGATTTTCCATGGAAGTGCCCAGGCAAGGTCTGGCTCTAATCAGGGCTCACAAACGTCAGGGCACTCTTCCCTACTCACACCTCTGCTCTAATTGACAAGTTTTAGTTTCCTGAGTCTTAGGTATTGTGCAGCCTTTCTGGTGGGACAGAAAAGGAAGAAGAATCATTGAAAGATGTGTAGGCCCCTTTTCCTGTACCTGGTGTGGGAGATGGCACCTGTGTTTTCCTACACTGTTTTTTAGTCCCCTCCCCACCAGAAGCTTTTCCCACCTGCTCTGGGTGGTATAGCCTTCTTCCCCCCAAATGTCTTTACCTTATAAAACCCTTAAGTGGTATGATACTATACTCCATTGCCTATCCCATCAACCTTTGCAGGGTGCAAGAAATGTAGAAACTAAGTAAAGATCAGCACATTAATAATAGGAAAATCAGAAACACAAGAAACCCATCAACTGGATTACTAAATATCTTCAGTGCAGTTATACTATCAACTTCACCTTCACATCAAAGTTTGTAAGATGAACATAGGACAAAAAACAACTTAGGGATTTATATCTTTCCAGATTCAATTATCCTAAACACAGGGACCAGCTGAGTTTTTAATTCATGTCATATGCTATGCTAAGTGCTTCACCTCCACAATATTATTTACTTGTTTCCACCACTCTGTAAATTATTACTGTACACATCTTATGGGAAACTGAATCTTAGCAAATCTGGGCCATTTACCCAAGATTATACAAGTATGGATAGAGATGGGTCTAGAAACCATGCCTGCTGACTTCAAAGTCCTAGGTCCTTACATGCTATTCCAGATTGTTTCAAGAAAAAAAATGAATAGAAATTTGCTTACATAACTGGAGGATGAGCGTGGTGTATTAACTCTTAGGTAAGTCAACACTGATAGAAGACCTATCTTTTTCTCATGGGCTTTTTTTACTCATCAACAATAAATTCACGAAGACAAATCCTTGAAGTCTGACTGCAGAAATGAGACTGCCAGCGAGATGATGGGGCTGGGGAAGAGAGGTGCAAAGGGGCTCAGTGGACTGCGGTGGAGGACTATGGGGACCACGGTGGTGAATGTGGTGTGGCCACAAACATCTAAAGAGCCTGAACTCCTCTGTCACATATTGTTGTAAATAACTATTTCCCACGATAAAGAAAAGATACAATTTTTTTAAAAGCGATCAATGAATTCACTAGAAAGGGATGACTCCCCAGAAGTCCCCTGTAGTCTCCCCATTTACTGTGAGCGTCTAGGATGTTTTTCCCCTAAATGTGTGTGGTCCGCAGGCCGCATGCGCTGGTATTCAAAAGGCATGCGCAGTATTCCACTCGGCAAGTGTTGCTCCCCTGACACTCCGCGTGCTCCAGTCAAGAATTCCGAGGGAGTGTCCCCAAATAGCTGCAAAGCTTTCTCTGTGCGCTTGCAGCCCCAGGGCATGTGAAAGCAAAGCTTTGCTGCCCTCAGCCTGGGCCTACTTACTGCATCGGGAGAGGGGGGGGAGTAGGGCCTGGAGACTTGCTCTTTGACGCTGTGCTCAGATGTTTGTCACAAGGAAGAATGAGACACCACGCTGGGCCTGCCTTACGTTCCCTAGTGAGGTATCCTTTCTCGAGATGTGGGGACAATTTAATTCCAAGGAAGAAAAAATTAACTTTGGTAATGGCCGAGTAAGTTTTCTTAAACACCATTTTATAGAACTGAAGGGTAGAAACTACTTGAAGTAAATGGCAAGCCCCATTTGAAGCTACCATATAAAAAAACATGAACTTCAAAATTGGGCATTCTTGGGACATTTGAAAGATGCTGAAAAGCTATCTGTATTGACTGATGAAAACACAGAAAGCTTTGAGGGGCCAACAGAATTCAAAAGATTGGGGGAAATTCATTGTAAGCTGGCACCAAGGCCTAGATAGCCAAAGATCAAGAATCCCCTCAGGCGGTTTTTTTGTACAAAAATTAAATTCCATTAAAATGAAGGTGAGGCAACAGTGCATTTGTTTTTCCCAGTCAAGATTGTGATCATATTTGCTTGGAATACGGCATTTTATAAACTAAAGTTATCTGTGTAAGGCTGTTGATAAGGGGACTTGTTCTGCTCCTATGGGGTGTAAGCACAGGGAAGAAAATTATGTGTCTTCTTTCTCCTTGGATCATGGGGTTATTCAGGTCTCTCTTGAGAGCCTACCATTCAGGCACAGATTATTCCTATGAACCTTGTGTTTATGAAGTGCACGCAAACAGGAGGGGCATGGCTTTTTGGAGAAGCAGCATGGAGTATTGGAGAGGTCAGACTGTCAAATCTAAGGATCTCAGCTGAAATGATAGTCCTGTTACTTATGAAAAGTGTGGCCTCTAGACCTCAGTCTCTATGCTTGCAAACTGGGAATGCTAACGCCTTAACTGCATGCTTATCTTAAGGTCAGAAATAATATTCATGAATGCATAAGACCGAAGACAAAAGCACTTCCATGTAGAGATGGGTTGTTTTGTCTATGGGGAGAATCGCCCTTCAGTAGCATCTTTCTACGCATCCCCTGGGTGGGGGGCAGGACACCAGCAGGCCACAGGGTTGGTGTTGGAAAAACAGGTCAGGAGTCAAAGCTTGACCTTTCCCAACTCTAGAACAAGTCCTCCCTTGTGGGTGGCACAGTCTGGAAAATCCAGGGGTGGATGTGAAACCACCATAGTCACTAGTGTAGTAAAGCCTGAGTTGGCTGTATGGCGGATGTCAGAGTCCTGATTCTTACTTAGCATTATTTTAAAGATCAACCTGCCCTTCTTCTGTCCTTACTTGTTAGTGTTGCCCTGACATCGGTGATGAAAAACAGATTGGATGGATGGCTGGCTGGCGAGATAGAAATGTAAAATACTACAGAGCTAGAGTTGGTCCTCAGAAAGAGCCAACATGTAAATGGTAATGCAGTCTGAGCCCATGGAATGTGATTTTCATAGATGGCATCTGATTGAGGTGATGGCTGATGCCGCAGTAGAGATCCAAGTCTTCCCCTCTGCACCCCAGTGACCTCACGCTCCCCGAGGTCCCCTGTGCATATGTGTGTTAAGAGGTCACTGCAGGGAGCATGACACAGGGCTCTAAGTATGGCGGTATCACCTCAGACCTTACTATTCCGAGAGGGTCCACCTCACCTGTCCCATTCATCACTCTTGCTGAAGTCGGCCTGACCGGAAATGTGTGAGCACCAGTGAGAAACCAGCATTTCGAGCTTAGGCTTCAGGAAATGCTGTTGGAACCAGGACAGCGATATTTTTGTATTACCTAAGCAACTGCCAGTTCTTAGTAAAGCTTTCCTCATGCAGTTCTAACAATGACATACTTTACTATCATTAGAAATTGTTACAGCTCGATGAAGTTATAATAAGAGAGATGAATTTATTTTCCTGATGTTGGGAAAGAAAAAAAAGAACGTGCTGAAACAACCACAGGATGCGAGCTAGGGAAGCATCAACAAAGGGCTTTCTGAAAGCCACTCTCAGTCACAACGAAAGATGGCATTCCCCATCACTAGGCCATGCCACACACGCACTTTCAAACACTCTGTAGGGAACTGGAGAGGTGATGGCGAGGAGGCGAGGGCAGGGCCCGGGGCACACGTACCTGAGGCATTGTCAAGGCTGAAGGCGATGCGTACTGGCTTATCCGCAGCTACCCTGGCTGTGCTGATCATGTGGGCACCTGAGCCTCGGCCTTCCCCTGGGTCTTCCAGCTGTCAGGACAAGAGCCACAAGTGCTTTACCCGCGTCAGCCCCGCATCGCAGAGAGCTTTGCCAACAAGAGGGAAAGTTAGTAAGCAGTAGCTTTACCTAGTTCCTTTCTTTCCTTACATGGACAGGGCTCACAGTCATTTTTTTCCTGGTTTATGGACACATGGCTTTGAACTAGCTCTCTAGAATGAACTATACACGATAGAGTGAAATCTCCACCCAGCTCACTTTTTTAGTATCCTGCACACTGGCAGTGCCACCCTGTCCTTCGAGGTCTTTTATATAGCAGTTTATTTTTAACTGAGGGGAATAAAGAACTCTTCATAGGGTATCAGAAAGCTTCGGATGAAACTAGCTTTTTGTGCTTAAAAAAGCGCAAATTGGGTCTGAATTATTGATCTGGGCGTAGTAAAGAATGAGTATCGTGAAATCAATTCAAGAATACCAAAGACAGTCTTCAAAATACCCCACAATTATATTATGAAAATTATTGCTTTAATAGCTGATGGAAGACTTGTAATTCTATCAAATACTTAACAATGTGTGATACAAACAAAAGACAGTGTTAAAAATATCCCATTGATATTCTACCCCACCTAGTAAATTAATAGTGAATTAATCTAATGACTATTTAATGACTTAGCAAAGAAAGGATAGAAAAACCTCCTACAGATCAGATGGGTGGTTTTGGGCAAAAACACATGAACTTAACCCAAATAAATTTTAACCAAGATATTTGATAACTTTTGTTATAAATATGTATCTGTGTTATTTAAATAAAGATAGTTAACTTTTTTATTTTGAGTCATTCTTCCCTTCTTCACTTTCCTTCTCATGTAGATAGTTCATCAAAAACTCTTAATGATATTTTAGGGAAAAGTCTCTAAAACATCATAAAGTATAAACCATCTCTTTAGCCTTTACTGAGACTCTGGGAATTGCCTTAACATGACATTTTCTCACAGCTAAGCTTCTGACTCTTTCCCACAACTTTTTCTATCTAAAAATAGCATCTAGAACACTGAATTTTGTTTTGACGATTATTTATAGAGCTAAAGTGAATGCACATATATAAATACACAGATATTTAGACATACATACATGTGGAATCATCTTACCCTGTACAAGGAAAGAGATCAGGCTCATATTAAACACCTAGTATATCTCTGGAGAAAAACCAGCAACTGTTTATCACCCGTTACAATCATCCTGGGCCCATTCATTTAACCCTGCAAGTGGCAGGGAACCTAAAAGCACTGCAAGTCATTCTAAGCTCAAGAAAATAGTAACCTGAAACCTTCAGTTTAGGGAAAGAGTAAGTAAAGTCTCTGTTAATTGGCTCAGGTTATGTTTTATCTTAGCTCTGAGATACATTTCTGTGCTGCTCATCTGCTTAGAATCAAACCTCTTGTAAGCCACCTGATGCTGAGGAATAGAACAGACTGTCTCAAATTTAACAAAACAAACAATAGAGCCCCCCCTTCAAGTGGTAGCTAAAAGCAAAAGTCTTACTGTTCTGCCATTGTACAATCAGCAAACCATTTTCTGTCACATCTAAGGATGAAAAGCTGTTCTTCTCTTGGGCTGGACCTCTCCGTACTTCTTTGTGCCAAGAAATGAAACTCAGCAGGAGGAATTTGCCTCCAGGATTTTGCAAACAGATCTCTCCTACTGTATCCAGCCAAGGGTAATGGAATTGAGAAACCAGCTAATTAGAGTCCTTCCCTGCCGCACCACGGACAGCATCTGTCTGCCTCCCCCAGAATGGTGGTGGCAAAGTTGGGTGGATTTTGAGTTCCACACCATGTCGACCACAAGAGCCCCTAAACCTACTTGCCTTTTCATCACACCGCCTGGGGAAATAAGCCACTGATTCCTCCTCTCGGCTGGAACAGAGCTTGGGTTAAGCTGCTGGTGCTCTGAGTCTTTAGTTCAGTTTTCACACCTGTTGCCTTACCTCACTTAGTGGAGTGTCTGCACTTGTGTGATCCAGGGCCAGCCACTGCCTTGGCCGGTCGCTGCCTTTGTGGAGTAAAGACTCAGTAAGAGTGCCGTCTGCACCTGCTGCATAGCAGCCCAGACACCCTGAGGAGCAATGACAGCTGTCCGGACAGCTCTCTGCTACCTGCTCTCCTCCAGACCCCAGCGTCCCACGGGGCCTCCCTGTTCCGCTTCCCTCTACAACCCCTCTCGCCTTGCTGTGCCTCTCCAACAGCCAGGATGTTGTCATGCTTCTAGAAAAAGCAAGAGCAAAAGAAAACCCTCCTCCTGACAGAGGCATTGATAAACAGCAAGTTGTGCAGAGTCCAAATGTTTTAATTCATTAGTCCTGGCAAACCTAAAATACAAACCGACTTGCTTCACAGGACAAGAATGTCTTCGGCGTGACCCAATGGGTGTCTGTGTCTATTCCAGCAAACTGGCAAAGATAGCATGACTCCAGTCAGCAAAAATGTCGGTCGTTCCAATCAGCTCAGCAAGACCCAGCCAACTTGGGAAGGCTACAGGCTGACTCTCAAATTATAGTGATGATCCCGGTTAAGAACGTGACGGTTGAGGTTGAATTGTTGGTGGACTTGATGACTTGATCTCATCTACAAATGCACTTGACTGCAAAATAAGTCAATGGCACATTGGAGTGAAGCTTAAGGACTGTACACGCAGTTTAATAGCTATACACCTAAACTCAGTAGTGCTTGAAAACAGTTGGGTAGTGATGTTGAAGTTCAATAACTAAAGATAAACAACTATTAAGAAGCCACAGAAAGATAAGCCACAGACTAGGAGAATATCTTTGCAAAATATGTATCAATAAAGGACTGGGATCCAAAATATACAAAGAGATCTTAAAAATCAATAATCAGAAAACAAACAACTCAATTGAAAAATAGGCAAAAGATCTAATCAGATACTTCACCGAAGAAGATATACAAATGGCAAATAATTGTACAAAAAGATGCCAAACATCACAAGTCACTAAGGAATTGCAAATGAAAGCAACAATGAGATACCACTGCATACCTCTTGGAATGGCCAAAGTCCACAATATTGACAACATCACATGCTGGTGAAGATGCAAAATGGGACAGCCCCTTTGGAAAGCAGTTTCCTATAAAACTAAACATGACCCACCAATCGATACCTTGGTTAAAAACTTAAACCCACTCAAAAATCTACACATGGTTGTGTTTATAGTAGCTTTATTCACAGTCACCAAAACAAAACAAGTAAGAAAACCTTCAGACGTGAATGGATAAACAAATTGTGGTACATTTATACAATGGAATATGACTCCGTGACCAAAAAAAAATGTAAACTACTGGCCCTCCCTGGTGGTGCAGCAGGTTAAAGCACAGCACTGAGAAGCTAAAGCCACTTCCGCATGAGTTCGATTCCTGCCTGCCCCGGAGGTGACCACATGGCGTGGCAGACCCCTCCTGACCCGCCCGCTGCTCCCCTCAGCAGTGTACTTCGTCCATCTGCCTGTTCTGCTCCCCGCTCTGTCTCTGGTGAAGCCTCTCGCCGCCCCTGAGCCTCTGACCTGTACCCCAGTTCTGTATGAATAAATAAATAAGTCTTTAAAAAAAAAATGTAAACTACCAAGCCACAAAGAGACATGGAGGAAATTAAGTGCATATTATTAAATGAAATATGTCAATCTGAAAGGCTTCATACTGTTGATTGCAACTTTATGACATTTGGGAAAAGGCAAATTTATAGACACAGTAAAAGATATCGACCATTGATGGCCCTCCCTGGTGGCACAGCAGGTTAAAGCACAGCATTAAGAAGCTGAAACCACTTCCGCATGAGTTCGATTTCCGCCTGCCCCGGATGTGACCACATGGTGTGGCAGACCTCTCCTGACCCGCCCACTGCTCCCCTCAGCAGTGTACTTCATCGATCTGCCTGTTCTGCTCCCCACTCTGTCTCTGGTGAAGTCTTTCACCACCCCTGAGTCTCTGGCCTGTACCCCAATTCTGTATGCACAAATAAATAAATCTTAAAAAAAAAGATATCACTCAATCACTCATTGCCAGGAGTTCAAGGAAAGAAAGAGGAATGAGTAGGTCAAGCATAGAGGATTTTTAAGACACTAGAAAAATCCTAAATGATACCATAAGGGAATGGACACACATCCCTACACATTGACCAAAGCCCATAAACGTGAACACCAAGAGTGGCCCTTGTTGCATCGGGCAACCCCACACTGATAAAGAAACAGTAGTCGTGAAGCAGGCTACATAATGCAGATGCTGCTCAAGAGCAAGAGCCTGGCCTTTGTATTGATAAACTATATGAAGCAGAAAAGGAGATGGGGAAGCAGAAGAAGCAGGGGAAGGGTGGAACTGTACTTCTCATCTGCTGATAGCAAATCAAGCCCTGATTCCCCAGTCAGGATTTCATTCTTACCAGCAAGGCATTCCACTGATCATCTTCAGGGGTCCTTCTTTATACATCAGCCAATGACCAACCATTCCTGCTCATATCTTCTGATGTATATAAGTCGGGACTAAGTTTATGCATCCATCATCAGCCCCTCAGGCACTCCTTGTCATGCCTCTTGACGCAGAGCCTGCCCAGGGTGACCCAGCTTTGTGTTCTTTATTGATGTGAACGGCATCTTGTAGTAGGGGTGGGGTCCTAATGCAGTTCTGACCTTGCATTAGGAATCCAGAACTGTAGGTTAGAAAGTAGAGGCTGGATAGGCCATGGAGTCATAAGTTATAGCAAAAGAATCAAACTAATACAAGATGTTAATAGGGAGAATTAGGGGATTGAGCTGTTAGGAAGGGAGAGACCCGGGAGCTGTTTTTTCCATTCTTTTCCTGTCAAGCTAAGCCTACTCAAAAAACTGTGAAATAAATAAGTAAAAGAACTTAGCAGATTTCCTTGATCTCATGCACAGAAGGCAAATTTGTTATGGCATACACAGTAATAAACTGCATTGATTTAGAATGTTCCTCTATTAACCTATTTGTGTTTTTAAAGGAAAACCTTTCCAGGAATTATTATTACTGGTTTAGTTTTATTTTATTGTTAATAATATCACCTTACATCTTGCATCATAATTGAATAATTGATAGAGTGAGTCTTGCCCACTATTTCATGATTTTTCCTATAAAATAGCAAGTCTTTACTGTCATACCTATTTGGCAGATGAGCAAATTCAGAGAATGTGAATAACAAGTTCAAGGATAATTGATCTACAGAATAAAGGGCCCAGGTAAGAGCCAGGATTTCTAATTTTTAATTCATGCTATTTCCACTACCTCAAGATGCATCCTGTATGAAAGATCTAATTGAATTTGTTTGGTTCACATTAGCTCTGACAACTTTTGCTTGGAGGAAACAAAGATCAATGTCTCCATGGTCTAGCATCCAGGCTCCCCTGACCATAACCATCTTTATCATCACACCTAAGTTGAACTTGAAGGAAATCAAAGATGTACATCTCATGTGTTCTAATGGGAAAACATTGGCTTCCAAATTAGGTCCTGGGCTACCTGCAGAAAAGTTGGTGGTGGCACTGACAAAAGAATCAGTGTCCAGAAGCATCTGGACTCCAGTAAAACAGACTCCTAAGAATGCAAAGACCTAGAATGGGAAGGTAACTTCTGTGCCCTGATCAAAAGCCCCAGAGCCACCTAGAGATTGGAGGGGGCATGAACACATTAAACACAATGGAAATAATTATTTTTCATGACTTTGTCAAAAGCACATGACAGATGTAGCAGGATCCAGAGGCTTTTCCAGCATCATTAATGCAACTGGAACTGCAACCTCCTGACATCAAAAATGTTATCACAGGTACGGTGTGATAGGTGCCCAATGGTTAGGAAGCGACAATGAAAAGGAATGCACTCTGTCCAAGTCTGCTCATTCAAATGTAAGGTTTTCACATAATAACTAGTAGTTACCCACCAGTTTTTCTGTTCATACAGGAGCTATGATGTATTTCTTGGCTCTTTATCTAAGCACTTTCAAGAGAGTAACAAATCTGAAGCCCAAGTACAATCTCTTCCCGCCACTGTAACCCAAAATAACTACATGGTATTTTAAGAATTCAATAGAATTACAATAATTCAATCTAGAAAAACGGTGTGTGCATGTTCAGGAAAATATTAACAGTATCCTGGGTAACAGCCACATACCCAATTTTCATTTTCTTCTTTTCAGTAATAAATGTGTTTTTACTGTTATGTGGGAAGTTATTTTTAATGGTATTTGAGGCACTTTCAATAATGAATTCTACATGTCCTTGTAAATTATGGCTCACAGTATACACTATTGTCATAATGAATGAAAATTCAATTTCTCCATACAATCCCATTAACATTTTAGAAAGACTTGCTACATTTCAAACTAATGTTTCTCAAATTTGCCTCACCGAGTTCATGCCTTTTAAAAATAGGCACCCCTGGCTTCACCATCGCACTGACTCAGTAGGACTGGGTGGGCCCACATTTTTGTAAATTTAACAAGAAAACCAGTTTCTGTGCAACATTTAGAGAAGGATTGAGAGGACATTTTCACCAATGTTTTGAAGTCAGGTCTCCACTACTCTGGAACACAGATAGACCATAATCTCCAAAGAAATATTTCATAATGGCAAAATAGTCAACCTTTCCTTATAGTCATTAGCCTGCAATTTTCTCCTGTAAAGGGTCAGATGTTACCTATTGTATGCTCCGCAGTATTATGACCTCTCTCATGGCTGTCCATCTCTGCCACTGCAGCACAAAGGCAGCAGTGCATTTGAATGGATGGACTCCATCTTCATTTATGAAACAGAAAAGAAGTGTGTGTGAGTGTGTTTCAATAAAACTTTATTGTGTGGTTTGGGTGTATGAGCAAGGGTAATATACAGTGATTTCCACCATGGGCAAAGCCGGGCTGAGTTTCCAAGGCTCAAGAAGGGTGGTGGCCTAAGGTTTAGGCAATTTGTTTGAAAACTGGGATAGGAATCTTCAGACAGAATGTTGCAATGTGTCATTGCTAGTTGTCATCAATAGCAGAGAACAGGGCATTATTGTTCTTTTCATCCTCTTTCATAAGGAGAAACCAGTGAGTGGGCGCTCTCTCTCAGTCTTCAAGGCAACTGAGCCAAACCACTCACTTCCCATCTGAAGTCTCAACATGACAATTAGAGACAAGATGGCGTCTGTTTCATTCAAAGTAGATTCCATGGCTCTGAATTGGTCAGGATTCTTTCTGTTGCAGGAGTAGTCAACAACTAATGTAACATTAGCTTAAATGTCAAAGGGTGTGTTATGTGTGTGTGTGTGTGTGTGTGTGTGTGTGTGTGTGTGTGTAGAAGTTCTAGGGTGTGGGGGGGATAAAGGGTTTACCAGACACAAAGTGGGGAGCAGAACAGGTGAATCTA